TTTTTGAAGTTGAATTGTTGAATGAAGGATGGATAGCGATTATCTTTAGGTTTCCAACTCTGAAGAAGGCGATAATGCCGAAACGTAAGTTGATACGAACTTATTTAAAATCTTGGCAGCAAGTTTTATACGAATTTTATAAAATTAATGCAAAGTTATGCCAAGATCTATTGTGAGTCACACATGTATGCTTATAAATGGAAACTTTTCCTCGACCGCATATGTTTACTCAAATGACTACAGTTCGCGCAAACCAATACCTTGACAGGACATCCTACACGCATTACAAACGTTTACTGGAAGTTTACATACTTGAGAAAAAAAAAACTCTCACCCAGTTTTTTGGTGACAAGTTTAGCAAGATCGTGCACATCTTCGCTGACTTGCTTCACACGGTCGTCGAAAGCTGTGTCGTTGACCTAAACAGTTATGCCCCTAAGACCATCGTATGAACAATGAAGTGGCAATGTCAATGGCCACATTACCGGTGCTGGATTCTCGATGATTTCCCTAAGGGTATTGTCAAGCTGTCTGACGCCATCACGAAACGCGTTTACTCTGGTCTGAATCAACGTGTAGCAGTCGTCACACGGAAGACATCCAGATTTGATGTCGTACCGATTCTCCACACACTGATCACAGCGTCGCCCTTGGATATGATCACGGCATAAACATTGTCCTGTAATAAAGGGCTATTCGAGAGCTGTCGATAATTCAGATGGATTGAACTTATTAGTTTTCTTTATAAAAACGTCTCCAAAGCGATCGTTATGCTGTCGAACCGGACAAACTGGCAAGCCGCGCTTTGGCTCCCCTCGACCTGCACTACAACCCTCATGGAGCCTTGCACAAGCGGCACAGGCTGTATTTACATAATAACTATCGTTTGTTTACGTTGAGTATGGTAAACTTCTATAAGGTTCACAGATGCTTGAAAAAAATCGAATAAACAATTCGAAACTCACTATAGTCGTCTGTGGCTGTTACCACGCAATTGTACTATTCGGGAGAGCGTCAAATCCGCTCACTGACCTTACGATTCACATCCACGCCAATAATACTAGTCATACAAAATCTTATACTGTGTTGCCTACTCTCACATTCAATGATATCTACGTAATCTATCTATCAGAGAAACAAAAACTCCTGAGTTGAAAAGATTTACCATTGGTCACATCGCATTGTCGACTTTCGCTGCCGATTACTTTACAGTCACAGGGTTGACAGCCTTTTACACCAAAGCCAAAGTGGTATGGTGCGCATTGATCGCATCTGGAATGCAAAAGAATTTACACAGCGCTATGCTTGAGGGCACTACTAAAGAACTACAAGAAGCCACACTTACTGCCGTCCGGTGACGCCAGGTTTACATCTGCAGTTACCGGTAACCACATCGCAAGATGAGTCTTCAGATCCAAGAGGATCACAACCACATTGATGACCGCCAACACCAGAGCTTATATTGTAATAACCATGCTAAAAAACAAATAGACTTTGTTTAATATGTTGATGAATTCCAATGGAGGAAATCTAGCATGAAGCGGAGTACCTATCATAATTGTGCCTTTGAAGGAAGTGTTGCACATTAAACAGAGAAAACAAAAGCTATAAAACGGAGCTCAGGTTGTTTCTATAATATGTATAACACTTTCAGTAACACTATTTATATCTGTTGTGTTCTATTTCGCGAGTAATTTCGATCCTCCTATTGGGCAACCAGACAGCCTCAACCACACGCTTGTGGGTCTTCTACCTTTATTTAAAGACACAGTTTACGATAAAAATGTTTCTGAATTCTCCCTCGAGGAATACCTCTTGCCCCCCAAGGGTGACAGAAAGGACGCTGTCGAATCCAAACGCTCAACAGCTAGGGCATACACCCCGCTCCTCGACCGATGGTGTGTCAGACGAGTGTGCAGGCGATATAGATTGCAGTTTGCCCCAGGACCCACACGTTCAGCACCCAATCAGCTGAACGCCGAGTGATGAGGCTATGTTTTCCTCCTATTCTCTTATTCTCTGTCATTCTTTTTGCTGCTGCGGTCCTTATCTATTTTCCTACCTATTTCTTAGCTTGTGTATTTTCTACCTATTTCTTAGCTATCTTATTTTACGTATTAGAAGGTGAAAATGTAGGTGGGTGTGCCAGCGCCCTTTTGTGTTCTGCGTCTCGGACACCAGATTGCAGAGCGTAGAGGCCGCGCTAGGGGAGGAGATCCGCGGTTGGTGACCGGTGTCAGAGGCGAAGAGTAGAGCGTCAGCTCGCCCAACCACTGCTTTCACGCCGTTTTTTTCTGCATGAAACTCGCCCACCCACCCCTCCCCCCCCCTGATTTCATTTTTTTGAACCCTTGTATTTCTTTTTGTACGCCATTTTTGCGCCTTTCGTTATATTTGCACTATTCTAGACTTTATGTTTCATTATCTGTGAAAAACCGGATACCCAAAAGTGATCGTGAACCGTGCCCACTGACGACAGTGGGCTCGCCGGCGCGCCACACCCTCTCGTGCTTCTGGACCGCGTGACCATGGTTGGACGAGTGTGGTGGCATCTTCTCCGCACCCTATCGAGCGGGGAAAAGTGCGATTCACGCGTGACCCAAAGGCTGCTTTCTTAGTCCACGATTTGGCCCGCGACCGACCGACCGACCGACCGTCCGACCGACAGACCGAGCGAGTGAACGAGCGAGCGAGCCAACGCGTGAATCGCACCACATCCGATCGCGCGTAGTCGCGCGCTACGAAGGGAAAAGTTTGAATTCTCATGGAAGGAAACGGTAGCCGCCGCGAAACCACTGCCGCTTGCAGTGGGGATTCGGAAAGAAGTACAGCCACCCTAGTAGGATCATAGTAGTATTTTCCATGTATCACGTTGGCGAGCATGTAGGCCATATGAGGACTACACTTGTTCAGCCGCTTGGGACCGTGTAGCCTGAATGGGGACTAAATTGTCGGCCGCGGACAAGTGTAGTGCACATATGGACTAGACGGTCGTCAACGTGTTAACATTCAAGAGAGCGTTAAACCAATAAAATGTGCAGTTGCATTAGTCAAGTATAGTGCATTAGTTGTATAGAAGAGAAGAAAATGCCCATCTGGACTCCCAACTATCACGCCGGACAATATACTATAAATACAATCATGAAATCTAGAGACTGGAGTGCTATCAGAACGAGTTAAACCTAAAAAGTAGCTTCCTGTTCAGAGAAATCACCTCTGGTTGGTCACAGTGGAATCCAATGATATGTGGAAGACAATCGCACTGTCCGTTATCCTGGGAACACTCCAGTACAGTGTAATCGTGATTCGGCCGACGAGTTCCAGGTGCAAAACAGCTGAATTAATTCACTAAAGCACATGAACACAAATAAAAATAAGTTCTATAGTAATTGACCAGTTCGCACGTACTTGCAAGCTTTGCAGTCTCCTTTAGGTTCCAGCAGTGCATCCCCCCAATACCCTGGCCTACACTTCTCGCAGTTGAATCCATATGTATTATAGACACATTTCTTGCATTCTCCAGTAACCCTAGTAATGCACTGGTTTGACTCAAGTGTTTTTCTCATTATAACAAAAATATGAAGTATACAAACGACTCACTTGTCACAATTACCTATCGAATTCGGATCGATATTCCCTGAGCACTCACATTCTTTGCATGGAATACCGTCTTTAGGGTTGCCGAAAAACCCATCCGAACATTCATCACATCTGGAATGTTGAGGGTAAAATAACTGAATGTTAGCAGTGTTTACCGAAACTCATATGCTCTAAAGGACAAGTATCGATTAGTCAATTCACGCATGTGCAGCGTTGAAACCTGGCTAAATAATTGAGTGGCATTGGCACACGCGCAAGCAAGTCACATCACGAAAGCGTGCTGTGCAAGAAGCTTGGTCACATTGAAAACTAATGTTGAAAAAAAACGTTAGTCGTAAGCCTATTTCCACAGGGATATCCTACTATATGTATAACGCGCTAAGTGTGTCTGTCAGTTCGTCTGTCTGTCTGTCTGTCTGTCTGTCTGTCTGTCTGTCTGTCTGTCTGTCTGTCTGTCTGTCTATCTGTCTGTCTGTCTGTCTGTGTGTTTGTGTGTTTGTGTGTTTGTATGTGTTTGTGTGTTTGTGTGTTTGCGTGTTTGTGTGTTTGTGTCTGTGTGTGTGTTTGACCGGAAATTCATAACTCGGGTTCCCTTCGATCTAGAGAGTTCAAATTTGGTAGGAGTACAGGCGGCGGGATAGGAACACTAATGGTGGGTGGCGGGGCCGGACTTCGCCCACACTGGCGGGGTTTGTGCGAAATGAATGTTTGGGCGGAAAGTCATAAGCATATTAGGTCCACGGGGCGTTCTGTCCCCGTGGACCTAATATGCTCAAACTTGGTAGGAGTACAGGCGGCAGCATGGGAACACTTATGGTGGGTTGAGGGACCGGACTCCACCCACGGGGGGCGGGGTTTGTGCGGAAAATTATAACTGCAGCCTCCGCAGATCTAGAGCGTCCAAATTTGCTAGGATTACCCAACATAGGATAGGAACGCTTATAATGGCTGACAGGATTAAGCCCCGCCTCCGCGGGGTTTGGGCAGATATTCATAACTCCTGTCCCTGCGGACCTAGAAAGTTCAAATTTGGCATGAGCACAGGTGGCAGAATGGGAACACTTATGGTGGGTGGCAGGACCGGACGCCGCCCGCAAGGGGCGGGGTTTGTGTGAAAATCTTAAACTTGGACCTGGAGCGTTCAAGTTTGGTAGGAGCACAGGCGGCAGGATGGGAACTTTTATGGTGAGTGGCAGGACCGGACTCTGCCCACAATGGGTTGTGTTTGAGCGGAAAATCATAACTCTTTCAGGGGGTGGGGCTTGCAGAGAAATGTCAAAATGGACCTAGAGCGACCAAAATTGGTAGGAATACAGGCGCCAGGATAGGAACACTGATGAAAGCTTGCAAGACCAAACTTTACCCCAAAGGGCTGGGCGTGAATAAATACTGTTAGTTCGGACCCAGGCCGTTGAAACTTGAAGGCACAAGGAGTTGGCTGGAAACATTGATGGTAGCTACCTACTGTGCTAGTAGACTGAGCCGCGGTGAAGTCTCTGAGTACTTTTTTCTCTGAGTAATCGCCTTTGTGATATTATGCGATGTTCTATTCGGACACAGCAAAGATGGCTTACAGAAAAAATCGCTCCTGATTCGGAGCTAACTGAGGGTATAGAGCTTTCAAAGAAAAAGTAAAATCCAAAGTGTTGCACACACATAGCAAGTTTCTCACAGGAAGGAGGAGCGCCCGACGTAACCGGGCGAATCCATAAGAAGGAGGTAAGCCCGGCGGCCCGGCTGGTTTCAAGTGAACCAAAGGTAGAGTACTACTCATACCCATTTCTTATACCGTACCATAGAATTGTCATTGTCTAGTGTATGTATTTTGTACTCTTACGTGTCTGTCAAGTCCATGTGACATTGTTCTTACATTTCATAAGCCGGGAAAGCAAAAGTGTCATATAGCGCGATCGCACAGTAGTGCGAAGCCTGGGTGAAACGCACGTATGATTGACAGGAAAGAAAACGAAAAGAAACTCGTTCCGTGTCCATGCACGCGGTCCCTTTCCGCTGTGTCGCATGTGCGTCAAATAGGCTTATGCTATGAAAGAAATTATGCTGCGCGCTGGGCATTGTCTGTTAATAATGTCCTCGCAGCCCGCCGACGAATGTGTACCGCTTGAAAAATAACATGCCCTAACGCGGATATTGTCAACAGACGCCGCCGCGCGTTCAACGCTGTCAAGCGCTGACGGGTGTATGTCGTTTAGCGCGATGGGCGGGGTCGCGCCGCCCATTTGAAGCGGTTCGCGGGGTGAACAACTCGTTCATATCGGGCAACCCTCTGTCTGTTCTCTCCAGCTGATAGAAGCGCGATCAATCACGCCGCTACTATTAGACGCCGAATTGCGGACCTGCTTGTATTCTGCCTACCTACATCATCCATTTAGCGCTTTTGGACAGTGTCCATGGAGAAGGAGGACAAGAAGCAATAAAAAATCACGCAAAAGCGCCAAATGGATGATCCATGTAGGCAGAATACAAGCAGTTCCGCAGTTCGGCGTCTAGCAGCGTCATTGATCGCGCCTCTATCATCTGGAGAGGACAGGACTGCCCGATGTGAACGAGTTGTTCACCCCGCGAACCGCCTTAAATGGGCGGCGCGCCCGCCCACGCGCCAAACGACCGCCTCCCACCGCTGACAACGAAAGTCGTTGCGTTTTTAACGCACGTCGCTGTACTTTGAAAGCACCCGTTGAAAGACTTGTCTCATTGCCTACACTTGTGTCGGGGTATCGTAACAAATAAAGAAGTGCTCTAGTTCTCACCGTCGTCCGGTATATCCTAAAGGACATTCCGTACACAGGACGTCGCCATCAGTATGCAGAATACAAGGTCCATCCTCGGGGCAAGGACACTTCTGAAAATAATGGAACTTGTGATAGAATTATGATTCGCGCAAGCGGGAGTCCACAAAGGAGTGCTCCACAATATAGTTGAATTCGCGCATTGCAACCTCCAGTGGAGGCGTCCTACGACTATACCACCCATGCCTTCCTGCCAGCCGATGGGCAAATCCATTTAAGGCTTTTCTCACTCCCCACTGTTTCTAGTCTTTGTTTTATCATGTTTCGCTTTTTTCTGTCGACATTGTAAGCTGGAGCGTAGCAATGTGAAAAACAGAGAGAGCGTATTGGTAAAAAACACGTTTTTAAAGCTGGCAAGAAAGCATAAGTGGTAAGGAGATCGTGTCAGGATCATGTGGAGTTGTCAAGCTTACTACCCAGTTTCGCGCGGTGAACGCCCTGCTGCCTTTTTAAGTTTACCCACAATTCTGCGCGCTAAAGCATATACGCTTCAGTGAACTAGCCAGCATCTGATTAGCAATAGCATAAAAAGAAAAGAATCAGGAAAATGTTTGCTCGATCAAACATCAAAGACTGTGATGCATATAAAAGAACTGCAAGCTGAGAATTCTAATCGGATATGAGTCCAGAGGGAAAAAAAAAGTGAATCATTTTTGGACCAATGGATCCCATATCATGATTTGACGACTGAAACAACTTCTCGAGCACGGGCTGCAAGAGTTACGTTCAAAGTCGGTCACCCTTTGAGATAGCAATAACTCAGCGTAGAGAGTTCTCCACATAGTTCTACGTACGATCACAATGAGAATCTATACAAACTTCACAATCGTCCTCTGTGCCCGTCAATGCATTGCCGTAATAGCCACGCGCACATCGTTCGCACGTATCTCCAGCAGTGTTGTGTTCACAAATGCAAGCTCCTTAAGTGCAATATGTAAAGCATGTATCTGAGAGACAAATCAAGAAAATAAAACCAACCGCTCTCCGCATCGCAACTGTGCGAATGACCATGACAATCGCACCTGATACAGCGATTGAACGGTCCGCCGTATTTGAGCTCACGTCTGTAGCCGGGAGCACATGACTCGCAGAACTGACCGACGAAACTTAAAACGTAACTATGGTACCGCTAAAAAGTAATAGTTACAGTATTCGGAATTGCGGGTGTTGTTAGGGTGTCATTCAGTGGATCGAGGAGCATCTACTCGAGTGATTGGTGAGCCACGCCGCACCGCGAATGTACGCGACAGTGCTCCGCTCGGCACATATGCAAACGCATGGCTAATAATATGTAAGTATAATACTCTCCTTTGAATAAGATACAGTCACCCATGAATTTCACTAGAACTCATGTTCCAGGACACTTGAGAAAAGTTCAACATGGAAATTGTGCCGTACTCGGACCGTAACTTGTAGACCAATAACGAGTCCCATTTCATTAACACGGACAACTTTCCCTTCATTTTCTCGGAAAAGGTCACTCTGCCTACTTTGCAAAATGATACACCCACCCCACATTTTCCCGCCTTTTCCATTTTCATCTCACATTATTGCTTAATCTATCTCAAGTTCTCCATTTTCAGGCAACGGGTAAAGAAAAGTTGCTATCAGATTTTGAGATACGTCAAATTTCTGCAGAAGAGGAACAGGGACTGTGAAATCGCAAAATCGCTCGCGATTCAGGTCGATGCCACTTACGGGTCGACAATATCGTCAGGAATCCTAACTATAATGGAACCAAAAGAAGTATGGGATGTATTTCGTTACCTATATTAGCGTACTATTTTGAGGGAGGCGTCGAATACGACGAAGTCATGTACGAAAATGAAGCCGTCTTTGAAGCTGAATTTCCCAATGATTATTGTTTGGAATGTGACAGAGAAAAGTCTAAGTTTATCTCTGACCGAAAATGGAGAAGGCATTCTTAATGATCGAGAAGCATATAATGATGACCGGATCGCTTTTGCCATGAATTTCATCCGAACCGACTGCGGTAAGGTGCTTTTTCATGGCTTCTCGTTTACTCTTCTTTATGTTTCGTTCTCCAGGTTGTTTTTTATGAAAAAAGTTCAAGCGTGAAAGTACTAGATAGTAGCCGGTTCTCCAGGCACAATCTGAGGAAGGATAAGCTTCAGTTTTTCAGACGAAATTTCAAAGGAGGAGGAGACATGGTATGGGCGCCTACTTCCTCTCGTTAACGTCTTCATTTATGGTTTGCTCCGAAGAAGCTCAGCTCTTCCGTACCCTTCTTCCTTTTTGGTGTCAGAACCACCAGCGAACCTCGTATTCATGCAGGATAATGCCTCGATTCCCGTCAGCCGGAGCACCCAGACCCGGTTTACTCGGCACCAAATCGACCTTTTGCCCTGGCTGGCTAACAACCTGGACTTGAATCGAATGGAAAACGTCTGAGAATTCATGACAAGGAAGATTTATGTGGGAAACAAGCAGTTGGAGGTATCGGTGAACTGAAGAAAGCAATCGTCAACGGTTGGGGTACCAAGTTAAACATGAATTCATTGATAGCCTTTACTTTAGCTTAGACAATCGTATTCTTGAGATAATTCGAAGACATGGGGGCTAAGTTAATTACTAATCATGCAATGTCCTCTCTTTGTCGTAATTTAGCTGCTGAATAAATTGATTTAGTCGATGGCTGTATCATTTTCAAAATAGGCAAAGTGTCTTTCAGAAAAAATGAAGGGAAAATGGTCCGTGTTACTGAGATGGAACTCGCTGTTGCTTTACAAGTTACGGTTTGAGTAGAGCACAATTTCTATATTGAGCTTTCTCCTAAAGTGCCCTCGAACGTGGGTTTTGGTGACATTCATGCGTGGCTGTATCATTATGCAAAGAAAAAGCAGTGTAGGTGGAGCATTTACAATGGCGTCCGAATGGCTCCAACCTCAACGTCACAAAAGTGAATATGAAATAGTGTTCAGATTTCATAGAAAATATGAAAACAAACTTTTGTCATGACATTCGTTTTAATTACGAATTACGGCATGCTATTAGTAGAAGGGCAATGATCATCTAACCAGCCAATCAAGTTGGTTTCTAGTTACAAGGTCTAGGTTTCTATTGCCATGCGAGGTTTTTAGATGGAAAAATTGATTAATCCAACGGACTAGCTTTTTGACAAAACTATCTTCACAGACCAAGCTTCCACCGCATGAGACAGAATCCGCTGTCTTCACGGGACTGTCATTAGAGCTCTATTTTCTTGAACTAGATGAGCCTTACCCGCTTAGACAGTCACAGTGTTCCACCCAGTTGGCAGGTCGAGGATCTGCTGCTGGTGCCAGTCCTGCGGTTCCAAGATGGACATTTGACAGAAAACCAACATCTACAAATCAAACAAATACTTATTTGATTAGAAGTCAAAATCGAGTGAGACTACCTTGGTGCGAATAGGTGCCACGAATTTTCAAAGCAGTGACATTCGACAGTATACCGATGAAGTCCAATTCGTTAAGCCGGGGATGCCATTGGAACTGAGGATCAGCATGAATGCGGAAACGATAGGACTGAAACAGATGGTTCCAGAAATCACAGCGTAAAATCTATAACCAGTAAGAAATAAGAATACAAAAAATATTCTGAAGAGAAGAGGAGACTGATCCCGTGAAATCACCTGTTTTTCCGGTCCAGGCGTTGGGTTTTCCTGAGCAAAAATCGGAAGTGACAGTTCCTGTCCATCTCCGCCAACAACGACAACATCTCTGAAAAGTGTAGACAATCTTGAAACCAACAACACAGGAAACACAGGCAGAGTAAGGTGTGCCTTAAGTTTGGATAGTCTTCACGTGCAAACCAATGAACTATAATTCCTCAATTAGAAAAAACCTCTGTACTCACTTCACACTAGGTCTTGCACCCTGTTTAGTGACTCGAAGATCAAAGGTTAGCAATTGATTGTAGGAGCTCCGCTGATCACCAGTAAATTGTTCCGGAGCAATGAAATGTACTGGTCCTTCTTCGACACTGGATGCCTCAATCAGTTTCATAATTGCTTGTCTGGAAGCCGTAAGTGACAAGTTTTGGCCGACTGTTACTTACTGCCACAGCGTGATCCAGTTCCGCCCATTGAGCGTCAAGAAGCCCGTTATGCGACTGCGCAGACCACTTTTCCTTATCTGAAATGAACAGATGATGTATTGACAATTATCAACTATTAGAGTGAATCATTAGCACTCTATATCAGTAGAAAATTACCAGTTTCGAAATCCGAAGTTATGTTCATCGCATAATACCCGGGTGCTGTTGCGCAAATTGAGGAATGACCGAAACAGAAGCAAGGAGTACAACCAAACTGCAACAAATCAGTTTTGCTAAGTTTCTACATTAGAAACCATACAAAATGATACCTGATTGTCCCTAGACAAATCAAAATACCCCGGTTTGCACTTATTACACTGACGTCCTTCAACGTTGGATTTACAGCGACATGCGCCAGTGACAGCATCGCAATGTGGATGATTTCCATGTGATCCAGCCACTTCACATCCACAATCTCTGAATTTGACTAGAATTTAGCTAGCTAATAACACTTCAGCGTAGGAAGAGGCTTTTTTGCGGAAAACTAGATTTCAAGCCACCAAGTCAAAAAAGTGCCCTTAATTCCAAGATATTACACAAAGCAGGTTCTGTTGCTCGTTGCAGCCGACTCTCGACATTATGAGTTAGTGTTAACTATTCTTACACATTACCGAATGTTTTTTTATTTCCAATTTCAAATACGGTATATGATGTGTGGCGTCGATCTTGTCGTATTTTCTCGAAAAAAAAAACATTAATACAACTGCACTGCAAAGGTGGAAGTTGCGGAATATGATAGCAAAAATTAAAGTCCGCGTTCGGGGAACGGATCATACGTGCGTCCGAGGGTGCCCGCGGCAAATCGTTGCGCGGCGAGGTTCGTGGCGACTTGAACGACTTTAGCACCTACCATTGCCCCAAATTTGAAGCAGAGTAGTATCAGTAGGATCAGCTGACCATGCTAATCTACTCTGCTTCAAATTTGCGCCCCAATGGCTGCTTTCTAACAAGGGAAGGATACTTGGTCGCAGTGGCCATTTAAGATGAGATGTATACCGCCGTAGGTGGTTGCAAACGCTGATCTCAGTTGTGTTTCAAATCTGCTAAACGATTCTGGGAACAAAGTTACGGGACCAATTCCTCCCTGTATTATACCACTGCAATGAACAGATCACCGAGCCGAGCAAATCACCTATCGTTGCAACCGTGGCCTAGCGGCTAGTGTGGCTGACTGGTAGGCAGGACATCAAAGACCGATCCCTTGATGCATGCCCGCGCTTTGCTTTCCCATAAAATGTGTCCTTAACGCTTGCATAACGTTTTTTGGGCTCAATATTGGCCATCTTAGGAGCGAACTCACATTTCGGTATTCCAGGGAATAGGGAACCAGAAAAAAATTTCATCTCAACTGACCGAATATATACGCCTCTCTACCACGAACAGTCAAGATGGTGTTTCGAAATCATTGATAGCTTCCTTCACTTACGGACGGGCATCCAGAGAAGACTCAATAACTTTGCAAATTTCCAAATCATTAGCATACTGTTTTCACACAACATCGTACTGAGAGCAAATCATGGGCAAGTCCGCAGAATATATATTGGAAATTATGGGGGATAAGACCCCTCCTTGAGGAACCCCGCTCTTTCCATGAAGGACTTCCGAAAAAGAGTTGTTTATGCGAACTTGATAACTACGCTCGCTGAGGTGATCCTCTATCCACTTGTACACTTTATCATGGAATCCAAACTTACGAATTTCATAGAACAGCTTTTTATGACTTTATAAAAAGCTTTAGTAAAGTCAAAGTAGATTGCATCAACACTTTTCTTATTATCTAAAGTTTCTGTCCAGCCATTAGGTGATTAAAGCATATTCGTAACTACAGACCTTCCTGTTACAGAACCATGTTGTGAATCAGGAATCAATTTGTTCGTTGCAAAATGGTCAAGAATATGCTTTTTAGTAGCTTCTCAAACGCCCTACAGAAAATGGATGTAATGCTGATGGGTCTGTAATTAGAAACATCAGACGAGGGCGCTTTCTTCAGGATGGGCGTGATGTACGTGTGCTTCCACAATCTGGGAACTTGGGAAAACATTATGGACTAATTAAATAAATAGGACAAGGGAAAAGCTATAGCGTGAGCTATATTCTTAATGAACTCGATCGGCACATGGCCAGGCGTAATCGGCGATGAACAGGACAACTTTCTCAGAAGCTCACAGATATCAAAACGACCGCTGAAAGGCTTTCAATGCCGAGAAGTTAGTCATTCGGCCTGTGGTATCGATCAACATTCAGTTTGTCAACAAAAGGATAGCGCCGCCTCTGGCCGGCGCGCGCGGGCTGGCCTCTTACTCTCTTAAGGCTGGACTCTTAAAGCAACCACCGATAGGTGCCAAAGCCGTCAACATCGCCATGAATTACGCCGCGCGATTTGCATCCTCTGGCGCATGTATGTACTCATACCCCTCTTCACGTCCACGTTTCTCTCGCTATTGAGCGAAATTCGTACTCGTGGCGCATCTCAAGGAGATAAGGTGGCGATACCATTTATAGATACCAATGATCCTCCGTCGTGCGTCCTGTGCGCTTCCACTTTGAATGCGTACGCCGTCCTGCCCAACACGACGAAAGCTACAGAACGGAAGGCATCAAGAGCTTCTTCCGTCGCCTGTGTGCGGCTGCGTTGCGGTTTTGATTCTGTGCCTTCTACTTCCCTAGCACTGGAGCGCAGCATAATTTGGGCGGCATTTCAGTTAGATCAGCTCTGTCGCTCAAGGACGAGTGGATACTAATCAACGTTTAAAACCTATACAAGTTCCAATCGATATTATTAAAACAGACGACGGTTTTCAGCAGGCGCATTGCGTGGGTAATGCCCGCGCTTTTTGAATGGTGCGCCGCAAATGTGAAGTGAGGAACGTAGCTTTCCTCGACAAAGAAATCTGTGAAGGCATCTTGCAGGAAACTAGGAAATGTTGTGAATGTTTAGCAGGTAAGGTGCGAACGATAGATAAAACAATCGGAATGTGGGAAAAACGCTATTTCACATGTGTTCTCGGCTACTTTACGGTACTAGATAATATGAGTGGCTAAGGAAGTGATCGCACGCACTTCCAAGAAAAATATCGGTGAAAAGACAGTTAGGTGATTAGTTACACATTTTTGCGTTCCTTCCTGTCTTCTCTTAAAAACCCAATATCCTATTGGTCCATTCCTCCTTCTCGCAAGAGGTCAGCACCGCATCCACTGCGGCGCACAGCCACCCCCGAACTTCGCTGTGCTCTAAGCATCATGGATAAAGACAGCGTTTGGTGTAGTGGCCCATCTGCCACTTTTTCAGCTGCTTCTTTGCCTTTTATAGCTAGTTCGGAGGAAAATAAATCGACTATCTCAAAAATGTTGAGCTCGCAGCACTCCAATAAAAAAAGAGGACTCGACAAGCACTCGTTTTAATTTGCTTACGGCACGCGATTATCGTTAGTTAACTGCGATCGTATCTGAAAATATAGAGGAGTCTCCGTCGCGTGTCTCGTGCGCGGCTCTTGGTCCGTTGCCAAAAATGGTGAATATCTGTAACACTTCATTTTGTTCTTTGTTCGCGTTTCTTTTCGCATGATTTTTCCTTGGAACTGTTTGAGAAAAGGCGTCAATAGGAATCTGTTATGATCCTCGCTTAATCTTCAAAGAATTTTAATAAAAAGACCTTCCAATGAAGAGCTTCACTAGCACCACTGATGCTGCCGATCACAGCAAAGATCCATCGCATTCTTTTATTCTTTTTATCCGGCGTATTTTGCTACTCAGTAGCTGCTTGAAGCTACAATTTTTTGGCCATGATTTAAGTCACTTGCGAAGAGCTTTCGAATGAGTCGAAAAAGGTTCCTCATTGTGCTTGGAATATTTTTTTCACGGAACTTCTGTTAAAGGGATGGCGCAGATCGGTTGAAGAGACCGTTTTCTATGAGCGCCACCGCTTTCTCGGGTCTCCTCAAGGTTCCGAAGCAAGTAATTCTTTTATAACTGGTTTATCATTTATCTTTATGCCTCTACCATTGCCGCTTTGTGAGCAGTCCCACATGATGACATTCGCAAGTTATTAATAAGAAATAGTGAAGAGTATGGAATTTTCTCTTCGAACCTTAACGGGAAATTACTAAAATATGCGGGAGTTCTAGCAGAAGAGCCTTGTGCAAGTTGACAAAGATCTTCAGAAGATTAGAGCAACTTACTACCAAGAATTGAGTTTCAGAGTGAGTACCTTCTTTTTCTCCTAATCATATTTTCACGTGAACCAATTTTCATGTTGCACAATTTCGTTCTGAATCCTCCCCTCATTGTCAGAAGCAGAAGAAAAAGACCGCAGCTCCGGAAGTAGTCAAGAAGCTCGGTTTGGTCAAAGAGCCCACAAATCTTCTCGATTGAGTTAATTTTTCATATTTCTGTTACTTTTCTTGTGTTTTTGAAGCAAGTCTTCATTAGCTCATTTTAATGTCTTCATGAGTACACTGACACGTCTTGATGTCCTCAGAGAAATTTAGGTTTGCTGGCAGAGAACGGCCGTTTTAGCAATCTAGAGGCAGTAGTCTCTTCTTTCGAGCTAATTATGAGTGCTCCCAGAGACGAACTTTTTGTTGAGGTACATTGATTGCCTAACTGTTCTGTAAAAGTATCAAATCGACTGCTGCAATTGCAACTGCAATTAGGCACTGCAAAACAATCACATGTTTTTAGCGAGCGGTACAACGAAAGAAGCGAGCTGCAGCTAAGGACCGCGAGAGTTAAGGATCAAGAACTGCTGCTATTAGTCTAACCATAAACCAAATGATTCGCAATGATTCGTGACAAATAAAGATATACGTGTTGTTGATTTACTATACACTGATTTCGGGGCTCACATGCAATTGATATAGCTATGAAAAATTTCACTTCGTGGGTTTAAAATACCCTTTCATGGCGTTGGAGTCAAAGGGAGCAGAACAAGTACGCCCTACCAGGAGGGCATCCGACGAAGCCAGCTAAATTTACAGGCCCCGTTCAGGGCGTTTTGCCAACTTCTGCAGACAATCGCGGTGGGACCTTGTTGGCACGGTGTCACGGCCGTAGCTCCCAACATGATCGCATCTAAAATATTAGGGACTCTCCGGCGCGTCTCGCGTGCACACCTCTAGGCCGATTGCCAGATGTGGTATATTCACCTCAACTGGAAGTATTTCACGGGTGTGGTGCAGTAGGAACGAAATCGTCGCGTCGTGGCAAGAGGGACGCCGTGGCGAAGGAGTATAGCAGAATGCAACAGCAGGTGAGAAATACAGGAACAAAGAAACTGATAGTAAAATTATGCCTAAAATAAGAATTGCATATCGACTGAATTGTATAAAGAAAGCTAGAGCTGTAATAACGGCGAAGGAATGGTCCGCGACAGCCGCGTGCGGCAAATCGGTTACAGAAAACCGTTCCTACTGGCCGTCTCCCGTATTTTACTACTGATTGCTACAAGAGTGCCAGGGAAACACTTTCTTATGATCACCTCACTGTTATTGCTTCAACTTCTGGTTCGCTTAGGAGTTTATTTATGTTCCTAAGTTCTTCACTAGTTGCGGTTAATCCCTCTCCCTATCAAGTTATCTCCATATATTCGCTATAGTTCCTGCATTTTCGCACATT